CACACACACACACACACACACACACACACACACACACACACACACACTAAATAGTTTGTCTATTCCCCTGGTTGAGGATCTTCACTGACTATATTCTAAGCTTCACCACCACATGGTTCACTCTCACCTACACTGGAGTCTGATGACCCAGGAAGTGCAAACGCAACACGAGAGCTTTAAAGAACTGACTCAATGTTTCTTCCTCATTCGTAGAACCTCGACAAACACACTTGATCTCACAGTAAAAATATAAAACACACATGTTTTCATGATAGTTTACTAAGTCAGTTAACTTTGAGAAATGTACTTATATAATATATATATAAAATCACACATGTTTTCTCCTCATGTGAAAAAGAGCAAACAGCCTTGTTTTAACATGACAACCGTGCGTTTTTCCAGTTTCTATGAACTGTTTTTAGGATAAAACATGAACACTGGCATTGGGTCTCTTGTGAGGATGATGATACGATGATGATCGTGGCATTGTGCAGGTTCGATGCATTTTTTAAATGGTAATTGTCTGATGCATATTAAAGCCAGCATCATTTGTTCTCTGTCATGAAAAAAAGATGCAGTCCAACAGGATTCAATAATACCAACACGCTGGTGTGAATAGCTCTGGCTCTGGTGCCACGAGTGCTGTGACTGAATTCTAACGCGGGAAAAAAAAAAACGATCTCGGAGGAAGACAAAGCCGACGGGTGATGAAGATCTTGGGTCTAGCTGTGTGTATGATGCCCCCCCCCCGTACTGCAGGAGGTTAGGACACTGCATTCCCTTTCTGCATCACATGCTCAACACGTGTGCGTCACATCACATGTACCGACATGTTCCTGCGTGTACACATGCCGTGCATCCCACTTCTATTTACTCGTATTTTGTCTGACTTCTACAGCTCTCAAACACTACTCTACATTAAACCTGCAAACAATTCTACATTAAGCTCAAAATAAAAACACATTTACTCAATTTGACACACCAAGAAAGCACCATAGGCTCATATGTAACAGTTTTAGAGACTGTTCTTAAGTGATACATTAAACCTCGTGAATTAGCTCTAAAGCTAAATGAAGGAATACAGTGAGACTTCAGCCTCGTTTGAACCCAGAGCAAGAGCGAGAGAGAGACGAGCCATCGTTCAAATGTTGAAACAGCCTCAAATCGGCAAGAAGACGAGCTGCTAGGAAGCAGAACAGTTCAGAGAAAGCTTCCCAATAGAACATATCACACAACACATCACGACAGACCCGGTGTCAACACGCTCGCTTTCATATCTGTGTGAAAGTAAATGTCTGTGTTGCGTTTGCTGAGATGGACGAGGGCGGGTGAGGGAAGGGAAGGGGTAATATGGAGGACCCCCCCCCCCCTCCCCCCTGTGGTTGCCATGGTGAGGGAGCTAACAAGACTGGCTTGTGGCTGAGCCAGCACAGCCATCACTTCTGCTGTCTGGCTCACAGACAAACAGTTTACACCTCTACCAGCCTGGTGACAAATCAATGCACCATAATAAGGGAGGCAACTAAATAAACTACTACAGGTGTTAATCACACCATTGCTAAACTTATCCTGCTTTCCGTCATCTCAACCACGATCTAACTCCTCAACCAAAAATGGAAGTGCATCAAGCATTTAATTGGCACAGCTACTGCTTTACTGCTCTGCTCTGTTCAGGAGAAACTGTTTCATCGCTCCCCCGGTTGCTAAACAGGAGGAGAGAGACGTATAACGGCGACCGCCTGCTCAGAATGTGGAATAGACTTTGGGTGTGGCCTGACACAATCTGTCCAAACCACCCACAACACGTTAGGATGGGAACACCTCCTGGATTCTGCCACCTCTATAGGTGCTTCTGGGTCCTGGGAAGAGCCTGAGGCAATAATCGCCTAGCTGTAACAATTGGAGTTGGAGTGTTCCCACCCACAATATTACCGTAAATGACGCAGCTGTGGTAAAAAGGTCACTGTCGAATAGCCCAGGAATCCAGCCCAACTGTGAGTCAGCACTACTGGTTACAATGTCACACGAGACACAGTCCAACATCTAGAAACCACACACAGGGACGGGGATCGGGACGACGCGTCCTTTAAATACAATTAGTGGGGAAGTATTCTTGAGAGCTCCAAATCCAAACGAGTGGCTGGTATTTTAGGCTGGTTTGTTGAGCCAGGTGCCCTTGAGATTAAAACAAAAAAGGTGGGGAGTCTCCCTGCGGCTGCACTACTGATGTCAATGTGTGGTGGAGGGATATTAAGAGAGGCTCACATCCTAACAAATAATCCCTACAGGAGAAACACTGTGAAATGCTTTCAAGTCCTGTCTCCCAGACACAGAAAAACATCAGCAGGACAAACACCAGGCTAGCCTGACACAGCAGATTTTTGCAATAGCAGGCTGCCCACTAAGCTGCCTTTGACTCATTAAAAGGGGGAACTGGGGAGGAGGGGGGGCGCCAAGGTGAAGAGCTGGATGTGAGGTGATGGAGTGGCAGAGAACAGGAGGAAGGGTGGGTGCAGGGCAGGATGGGTGTGGAGAGCTATGGGTGGCCTTGCATCAGATGCATTAATTATTGATCAGCTGGACTGGTGGGGGACAAACATGCGCACTGAAGACACCGGTAGGGGAAGGAGGTGAACGATTTTTTAAAAGGCAACTCATTGATTAAATGTGTGCATTTTGCATGTGCATGAGTAATTAATGTAACACGCACACACACGCGGCTCTGCACTCAGTCTAAGGCACCCAAACCTCCCCCATCTCCCTCCCCATGTTCCCCCATCCTGTGTTTCCAATTGCAATCCGTCCCACATGAGCTAGCGGGAGATTAGCGGGTGTGTTCCGCCTTTGCTTGATTGCAGCTGCTCTTTGCACATGGCACACTAATCTCAGGGCCTGACGGTGGAGGAGGTATTATAATCACAACACCTCATGGTTACCTATTCCTGCTGCTGAGGGTGACAAATATACGTCTCTACTTACATGGTCCGGGTTCCGCTCGTTCGCGGGCAGTGCCGTGCGGACAGACATGTTTAGTCCCTGAGTGCGCTGCTTCTTCTTCGTCCAAGAGAAAAATATGTGGGCTGTAGGTTTGTGTTCACACTGGGTTTAAAAAAAAAAACACACCCCAGATTAGACTGGCCGTCAGTCACACCATGGGGGAAAACAGCCTCACTTCTCATACAATCCTCATTGTCACGGTCCGTGAAGGCAGCACAGAGACAGTTAAGTCCAGCTTAAATTGATGCGTTAAAAAAAAGAAGAATAAACTACATCCACATCGTGTCTGTCTGGTGTTGTTGGTTTAGACCTCGACTCTTCTGAAGAAAAAACAAAAACCAGCCCAGACGGACCCCCCCTACTAGCCTCTCACTTTCCCCCAATCCTACCCAGACGCTCTTGTACCATTTCGGGGGACACTGGCTGGCTCGTTAATAAAAACAATTCCGGTGGGCATCGGTTTACGTTCAGCTGCATCGATCTCGTGTTGGGAAAAGAAGCTAAACTTAACCATAAAGACCGGTGAGGGTTTAAAAACCGGCCGTCGGCTCTGTGCGACCACAGCGGGCTGAGTTGAGGGGAGAAAAAGGGGGAGTTTCTGTTTTCCTGTTAGCTAAGGTTAGCTTATGTGATTGTTCTGGGTGACATTCGTTAAAACGGCGGATTCCACGGGAAAAGTAGTCACGGACACCGAACCGGGGACCGTGTGAGGCCGCATTTCAAAACACCGACAGGTGTACGAAGCCTTTGGGGTAAAAAACGAACGGCAAAATTGCGGTTGAATTGCAGAAAGCGGCGGATGTGCAGCCGGTCTCTCCGGCTCGTTCCACTCAGCCCGGTCCGCCCTGAACGCGTCTCATTCGGTTTGGTTCCAACAGCTTTAGCGGTGAATGAAAAGTCTCCCGGATGAGCAGCGGAGGAACACGATAAGTCTCCCCGGAAACAATTTGTTTTGCGAAAAAGACGTAAGAAAACGGGATCCCTCCCTTCGCCTTCCGAAAAAACACAGAGAAACGGGGAGGGAGAGTGACGTCAGCAATAATAATATATATATATAAATATATAACAGGTTGCTCATAGACAGAGCTGCGTCGATGTCCGCGCACGCGCACATGCACACTCCTTTCTCTCCTCCCTCTCGCCCAATGCTGCCTTCAAGTACTCATTGAATCCGTGCTTCCGAGTTTCATAACTCGAAACCAGCATTTTATTGTGTTTAAAGTCAATAAACAATTGAATGAATGACGACTTTTATTTCAAATTTTTTTTTACTGTTTCGACAGTTTTAGATGCACATAAACAATAATAAAATGGCATCTGTTATTTTCATGACAACGTTTCATGGTAAACGACTCCTGTTTCTTTCTCCTATGGTATCATTACCGCCTCCTGGTGGCTAAAATCAGATTTTTGATCTTTACTTCGGAAGTACTTGATTTTTCTTTTTCTCTTTTCATTTTACTCTCTTACTTTATTGCTATGCTACTGGAAAACAACAATATTTTTCTCTTAATATATCATCATCGACTCCTGGTGGCTAAAATCCTTTCAAGAGAGAGAGTTTAATTATGATAATGATGATTGTTATTATTATTGTTATTATTATTATTATTACCATTTTTTAAATCGCTATTACAACAATTATTACTATTATTATTACAATCCCTTCCCTGGATTAACAAACATATATATTTTATACATTTTTATATTTTCTTATTGTAAACCATTCTGTTTTATTCGTGTGATTCTTGACTTTTGCAGTAATTGTTTTCTCTCTTTTTGTTTTCTCTTATTATGTTTATTGTTATGCACCATGAATACGTCATTATTGGTCAATAAGTCTGTTCCAGTTCAAAGGCTCCTCCTACAGTGTCAGAGAAATGTGTCTTTCTTTGGCCCAAATTTGGAGGACACCACCACCTTTATTTTTTTCTAACTCCACCACACACCAGTCACGTGGGGACTCGAGAAAGCACTGTGGATGAGATGGTGGTGAGGCCCCATAACGAGAGGCCCCCTTTTTAACACTACTTCCTCTGATTCGCCCTCTCTGGCTTATATAAGAGTTCAACGGCTGGTTTTGTAACTTTTCAAAGAAGCTTTGAATTAAAAATTAAAATCTTAAAAATCACAAAAACACTGCACTCTACTTTCTCCTTTAGGCGCTTTGTCTCCCCAATTTGGCTGAATATCAAGTTGCTCATCACATATGTCGATGTGTGCACCTAGACCAGTTTAGAGCTCAAAAAGATATGTTTTATGTTTCCGTTTTTTGGTTGAAAAAAACCCACAAAATTTCCAAAAGCATCAAAACACAAACATCCCTCACCCACCCTTATCCCCATGTTCTTAAAGGCACAATCACTGCATTCATGCAGAATTGTATGAGTGTGTGTGTGTGTGTGTGTGTGAGGGTGTTGTCCTACAATGACGTCTGCCTCTAGCTCATGGTGTTTGTTGGCTTCAGGATTACAATTAAACACATTAAATACATTTCAGCCAACACTTATTCACAACTTACAAGAGTAATTAAACAGCAGGCCTAATCACCACAGCTGAAAGCATTAATGGTACAACACAGCGGTATGTATCTCATGTTGTAGCTCCTGATACCATGCACATGTCACACATATTGAAAAACTGAAATGAGAGAAAAAGAGGTGTTATACCTTTTTTAATTGGGCAGCACCATTGAAACAGCGACCCTGGGTGGTGAGCTGACTTAGTTAAAGAAGCTGTCCTCAGCCTGGAATATGAGGGATCAACTCCACAGATCAGCAAGCCGTGAATCTGCCCCGCTGAAGCAAAAATGGGGATCTCTAGAAGCTGAGGCTGATCTCTGACCTGCATGTTTTAACATGAACCCAACATGCTCTCCAACGCCTTATTTAAAAGATAATTTTATTGCACCAAAGCCCAGAAAATAAAATGTTCTAAACATCTACTCAGATTTCATGCATATGTTAAATTCAGTTTATCAATTCCGGACAGAAAAATGTGAATCCTATTCTACACTCTGCTTACAGCACAACTATAAACTCACAAAACATGTGTGTTCCAGCATCATATTGATCCATTACTAACTTAAAAGATCACGTTCTCTTTCAGACTGGTGGCTTTGGATCGTACTACAGCCTAGAACCTTTGTCTTACTTTGCTTATTCTATAAAAATGAATCCTACTTACAGGCACAAATGGCCAGTAAAGTTTTAAATCTGCAGAATCTCTGGGGATTCATGAAACCAAGGAAACCAAAACTCTAACACCAAACACTACCTTTCTTATCCCCAGCTGGCTCACTTGTCTTCTCGCTTCTTATAACAGGTGGGGGGAGAGAGCCCTAAAAACTCATCAGCGTGCTGAAAATGTCAGGCATTCACACCCTTGAGCACACAAATTCATATCATTTATTCATGAATAGATTCGAATTCTTACCTGGACTGATCTGGATCGGTTGGAGCGAACCCAGGGCCTCATCTTTTCCCTCGCACACCTACTTCCTTGTATGAGACTGAGACCTTCAGTGGCCCGAAACGCCCTTCGGACTGAGAGGCTGGTACTGGAACAAGCAGGTGAATCAACAGACGAGCAGATTCACTTTGGAGAACGGTGGCAGAGGAAGAGGAGATGTTTACCAGGAGGGCAGAGATACTGCTGAGAGAATCAATGCTGGAAAAGAACAACCAGAGCAGCAGTCCATATTTCCATGGATCGCAGAGCCGGTTCTGAACACTGTGTTACTCCAGCATCATTAGCATCATCAGAAAAAACAAAACAATGGATGTGGAATCGTCAATATATCTAATGGAGTATGGGAAAGGAAGGGAGGAGGGCGAGGCTGTCTCTGTTGCTTTTTACATTTGGGTTTTGTGTGTGTGTGTGTGTGTGTGTGTGTGTGTGTGTGTGTGTGTGTGTGCAGCAGCTAGTGATTTGTGCTGATCCGAGCATGTCAGCAGGGATTGATCCAGCCGGTGGCTCATGCTGACCCCGAGGACATCAACACACAAACAAACACATGTTTGTGTACTTTGACACTTGTGAGGACCCTCATGGACACAATGTACTCCATAGCCCACGGCGACTAGGCTACGCTAACCCCCACTTTTACCCAAACCTCAGCATCATTTGAACTTTAACCCCTAAAGCCAGGAATTGACCCTCAAACAGACATCCACTTGGGGGGGTAGATGAAAAGTTAATGATGTATTCTTGTTTGATGTATTTTATCTTGTTTACTGACCTCAACTCTCTGTGACTTCTATGTTTTAAACAGCTGAAAGAAAGCTTTCTCCTCGGGGAAAATAAAGTTAAAATGATGTGAGATATTTTTTTAAATGTAATACTCATGTCATGTTCAAATACCAAGATACTAAGTGAACAATCTTATATCAAATATTAAAATATAAAGAAATAAATATATAGCTTTTTGTCACTATGTCCAAATTATGAGATACTAAGTGAAAAGTTTGAGATAATAGGTAAACATTTTGAATTATTAAGTCAAGATTGTGATGTACTTTGTCAAAATGTATCATAAGCATTGTTGTTTTTATCACAAGTTAAGTTAAATTTTAACTTATTGTCATATAATAGAACACAGATGTTCATAATAAGTTACATTTTGGACAAACAAATCCAAAACAAGTGAGTAGGTCAGGAACAGGTCACAATTCATAAACATGAATTGAGGAATTCAGGTTCAGTTTTAGGTTCAGGTGGTTGGAAAGCACAGGCACAACCCACAGTGACAATCTGACTGGGGTTAAGAGGAAGTGGCCCCGGTAATGTACTGCAGGGCTTGTGAGGGAAAGTGGAAACAGGTGAGCAGGTGGAGACGAGTGGGACAGTCTGAGGCCATCTGGTGGACGGCTGTCAGAAAGGCAATGAAGGGGGCTGAAGAGAGAATGTGGGTGAAGGAAAGGGACAGACATAACGAGAGAACATACAGTATCAGACATTAGACAACACTAAATAACTTCAAAGCTTTCACATACGCAGCAATTATTTCTAAAATTATAAGTAATGTTTTAATGTTAAACATTGAGACCTTTCTAAATCAAAAATGATGTTCTCTTCTTGTTGCTATAGAGGACCAGCCTCATACACCGTGATGAGTATGACAGTCATGTCCTGTGATGAAACACAAAGCACAATAGTAAACTACATGGAGTAGCATGAGAATAAAGAATATCTCCAGAGTCAAGACATGATGGCTGACTTCTTAAACCTCAAAACAGAAACACAGCCATTAAGTTTATGGGTAGGTGTCACTATCATTATAATAAGCCTCTTCCATATTGAGTCTCCATTTCTCTGGAAGAAGAAGTCATTTAGTGATGAACCTACTGATGTGGTTAGTCTGTTTTTTTTTTAGTCTCCGTCTTAAAGTACGACAGAAACTGTGCCGTGCAGCTGCCACATCGGTTTGACCGACCCTTTGTTTTTGACGTCGTTCTAAGAAAAGTCGTTTCAAGACTTCCTCTGCAACAGACAGACGCATCTCACACAGCCTCTACAGTCACGTATCAAGACAGTCTGCACAGTCAGCTTTGAGCAAAACCACCCTGCAACAGAACACGACTTCAAGCACTGCCTTGTCATCAGCGGTAAGTTTTGATTTAAAAGAGAATAAATAAGGAAAGTAACAGTTGAAAATGATTTTAATGAATAAGTGATTGAACACTTTTGACTCAAAAAATGTAAATCTTGAAGCTATTTGAATGTTTCTCGTGAATAACCAAAGTCTTAAAAGGTGTTGCAATAGATGCAATGTACAATGCAAAAATAAACTCTTCAAGAACAACTAATTATCATGAATTAATGTATTTCATAAATGTTTCCTTCAGGTATATAAAATTAATTTATCTATATTAGCAAATAATGACAAAATAAGAGTGAGAATACTTTTAAAACTGATGCCTAACTTACTTATTCTCTTTCAGACCTTGTTTTCCAAAACCAAAGCAAACTTGAAATCATACTTTTCATGTTCGGTGTGTACAAAACACTTTGGAACGGTCTCACTGCTCCATGTTCATTTTCAGCTGTAGCCGACCATGCTGGCAGCCTTCACCTTGGCCTCCCTGGGCCTCTTGGTGTGGGCGTCTGACCCCTGCCCCCCAACCTGCCAATGTCTCCACAACCTGACCACTGTCGTGTGTCAGGAGAAAGGACTGGACCGGATCCCCGAGCTGCCGGAGAGCACAGAGCAGCTGTACGTCTCATACAATGAGATAGAGGAAATACCCAGGCGGGGGCTGGAGGAGCTGCAGGTATGAAACACACAGCGGCCTGGAAACTGTACTCGGTGTGTGATGCTTTTTAAAAGGATGCAGCGCTCGACTGGTTGAGAGACTCCTGCGGCAGGAAAGCCCCGAGTTAAAATGTTCCATGTCCTCAAGTGTCTGTTGATTTCCTGCAGCAAGACAGTGATAAGCTGAACCTTCATTAACGGACCATACTGGTGGTTTCCCATTGGTTTCACCTCTCAATGCTCACCATGGTGAATGGAAAACAATGGCTGCCTGGGAGATAGGAAATCAGTGGTCCGCTAGTCAACATTTCTTATATCAGCAATGAATCAAATGTCAGTGGACAGACCCACTGTACCATACGTACCAAGCAACACACAGCAGACAGAGAAAGTTAGGGACTAGCTAACATCAAGTACATAAAGAACCAGATATTTCTGGTGGAGAGCAAAAAAGTAAAAAAAGTAGAGTAAATATTAGACCTACATTCACCAGATGTGTAAAATAGGCTACATTTTGCAAACACCGTGACTTTATAAAGCAATTGCATGTATGGCTATGTCTGTTTCGCTTGTTTCGGAGGTCTTCTGCCCCCCCGGGTGACCTAAAGCAAAAGAGAGCTTCACTAAATAGTGAAACGGCAGCCTGTTAGCTTAGCTTAGCACAAAGACCAGAGGGAACAGAGGGAAACAGCTGGCCTGGCTCTGTCCAATGTTAACTAAATCCGCCTGCCAGCACACCCCAAGCTCACTAATTAATGCGCGATATCTCGATTTTTTTATTATATCAGTACAATTTATTGTCTGACTATTTCTACCAGTTGTCAGACAGCTAACGGAGACTCCAGGAAATTACTCCCAGACAAGAAATAGTCCGGCACATAACCTCTTTTTTTTACATATCACATGTGCAAAAGCAACAATGACCATTCCGTTATGAAATTCTGCTTATAAAAAACAAATTTCCGTCCTGTGGGCATGTCTGAAACAGACTTGCCTCCTTAGGCTTCCAGGAAACATCAAGTTTGACTTACACTGATAAAATGATGTTTATTTTTGTGATATTTGTAAATATTTATACATGACAGACCAGTCTTCTCTCCTTCCTGTACATTCTGTAGGTTCTGGACCTGACTAAGAATCAGCTGAGTGTCTTCCTATCCCTCAACCCAGTTTGGCCCAATATGACGAAGCTGTCTAAGCTCTTCCTACGCAATAATGACCTGAGGTCTCCACACGCTGGTCAGTTCCTAAACTGCCCTGCTCTCACCTTACTGGACCTGAGTGAGAACCAGATCGACTCTCTACCAATCGGATGCCTCCGCGGATTAGCTAATCTGAAAATGCTGTATGTGAACTTCAACCAGATTCAAATGTTACAGATTGGTGGATTGGAGGGGGCGTTCGCCCTCACTCAACTTCACCTCAGCCATAACAATATAACAAACATAGAGGAAGGTGTGTTCAAGAACTCCACTGTGTTGGAGAAACTCGTTCTATCGAAGAACAGAATCACAAGTGTGGGAGAGTTCAGCTTCAGAGGAGCAACAGGTCTCCAGCAGCTCGACCTGAGTGGTAACATGCTGGCCGCTGTTCCAGCTGAGGCATTGAGGGATGTAGACAGGCTCAGGTATCTGCATCTACAGATGAACAGCCTCACCGGCCTTCCAGAGGATTTCTTCTCCTCACTGGGCCAACTGGTTTATCTAGACCTGAGTAACAACAAGCTGACCACTCTGTCTGAGGGATCACTGAGAGGTCTGAGCGCGCTGAGTGAGCTGGACCTCAGTTCCAACCGCATAGATTCTCTTCCCTCAAAAGTCTTCAAGGACCTGATCAACCTCAAGTTACTCGATTTGTTCAGGAACAGACTGACGTCTCTTCCTTTGGACGTATTCAGCAATTTGAACAACCTGGAAGAACTCCAGCTGGACGTGAATCAGATGTCCGCCCTACCACTCGGGGTATTCGATTCGCTGTCCAGACTAAACGAGCTACAGCTGTCGAACAACCGGATCCTGGAGCTCCACCCTGCTCTGTTCAACAAGCTCAAGTCACTGCAGAACCTGTACTTGGAGTACAACGCTCTGAGGCACCTTCCCAAAGGCCTTTTCCACAAGCTGAGGGCCCTCAAGGAGCTACACCTCGATGACAACCACATCAGGTCTCTACATCCCTCGGTCTTCCACGGTTTGGTGAGATTACTTTCGCTGAAGCTCTCTCGCAACCATCTCGCCTCTCTACACCCGGACCAGTTCAGAGACCTCATAGGTTTGAAAGAGCTAAGACTTGATGAAAACCACTTAGCCAACCTTCCTCCTACAGGCCTGTTCAGGAATCTAACACATCTTAACACACTGAATCTGGACCATAACCGGCTCTCGGAGCTGTCTCCCTATGACTTCGTAGGGCTGACCCGCCTTAAAGAGCTCAAGTTGAGCTTCAATCAGCTCCGCGACATCCCGTTCGACACCTTCTATCCCCTCCACTTCCTCCGCAAGCTTCTGCTGAAGAACAACAGCCTGAATAGTTTACACCCACAGCTCTTTGCCGGACTCTCAAAGCTCACAGATCTCAACTTGGACAGGAACAAGCTGGGTCACCTGCAGCCGGATGTATTTCAAGGACTCGAAAACCTCCAGAGATTGAGTTTGAAGTGCAACCAGCTGAGAGCAGTGGAGAATGGGACTTTGGAGCCTTTGAGAAACCTTATCTCTGTCTATCTGTCAGGTAACTTGTGGGACTGCACCTGTGCACACATCCTCTACATCAGCAGCTGGGTCAACACCCACAGGGACAAGCTCGGAGACCGGCCCGTTTGCATCTTCTCCTCTTCTTCTTCACTCTTAACCGAGGACCGACCGCTCTCCGAGGCAGCTCAGTCTCCCCGGCTGTTACACCATCACTGCATCGCAAACGCTGCAAGCGGCTCGTCGCCTTCATTTCCTCTAGAAATGCTGATTCTGCTCACGATTCCTCTCATAGCCGTCAGCCCACTGGGACATCCTTTGTAGTGGTTTTGCGCTCTCTGAATGTTTCTTCCTGCCTTTGCTTTTCACGTCTGCTCTTGGTTTTTTTTTTTGCACCCTAATCTCAATATGCTGTAAGTTTGAATATGTTTATATGCAATCAATATTTGCAGAGGAATAATGTGATCATGCAAAAGTGCAAGATGGATTTTGTGAGGATCAAGAGAGTTCTTGAATGATTTCCTTGACAATATAAGGTGGGGATAAGGGATTCAATGTGGATGTGAGCATATATGCTTTGCACAAATAAGTGTAAAGTCTCGACATAAGACAACATGGACTCTGGTTCAGTGATTTGCATCAGTTCCTGGTTGAGCATGTGTTCCTAAATACTGTGTTCATTACAGGAGATGAGCTTGAGAATTGTTGAATGTGTTTGTGTCTGCAATTGATTTTGATGGCATATTTGTCAAAAAGCATTATAATAAGGCAATAAAAGAAAATAAAACGCTCAAGATTTAAATTTCAATGTTTATCCGTTTCACTCACAGTCACAAAGTTGAGTTTTAGCAAACACACACTCCACAAGAGAAGTTACAGATATAAAACAACAACGCTATTGTTCTCAGTCAGCACATCTTCCAATGCACACAAGGCAACTTTGTTTCCAAATTAGGTTAAGCCTTTATAAATACCAGTCTTACAACTTAAATTGTGTCATTTAAAAATCCTGAAAAAAGCTTCATACAGTAAAACAAGTCAGTCACACTTTGAATTTTACAATCTAAATCAGAGGTATACTAATTTAACATCTGTCTGCAAAATACTGCTTATTTGAATTGTGCCTGGTTTGTTTATGATACCTCTAATAAAAGTCAGGGAAAGTAATGAAACGTTGTACACTTTTAAATCAATCTGCCACAGTGGTCCAAAACTTGAATTAAAGGGACTATGAAAGTTGAAACAATTGATTTTCAATGAGGTGTCTGCCATTACAATGGTGGCACTAACAAGTAGAACTCTTTGTTTGTAGCACCCAGCATCACACTCTACAGGCTGCACTTTGTCTTTCCTGTGTCCATGTTTTCAATTTAGGGCGACATGAGCACCGACTATTTTAGTTCCGACCGTCGTCTGTCATTTAGAAGCACTGGTGTCTTTTACAATCTCTTGTAGCTTATTCAAGCTGCCGCACCCATTTCACTCACTGCACGACAGATTAATGCCTTAAATACAAAACATTAAGAAGGTGCTCACTTAAGCCTCTTAAACCTTTTTCAACTTCAACTAAACGGTTGTTAATTAAGGGCACACATCAAAGGCCTGGTTCACATCTCTAACCATCCCACTGCCCAGACAGACTCCTTCATTTCTCCGGGCAGCTGTTGGTCCACTTCTATAAATCACAGAGAGCGTCCCGACCTCGTCTCTCACTGTCTGGTACGGCAGCTCCTCCGAGTCTCACCAAGCGGACACTAGATTGTCACGAAAGTGACCTTGCTTAAAACCTAACTTCATCATCACAACAAAGTCTTCCTCTACAGGTGCAGGGAAGCCAACGCCAACCCACTGCGTCAGCCTCAGACGTAGAAACACTTGTGGTCCTTCAGGTTCCTCAGGTAGGAGAAGCTCTTCCCGCACTTGTCGCACATGAACTGCTTCTCCCCGGTGTGTATCTGCTGGTGGGCTTTCAGGCTGTTGCCCTGGTTGAAGCTGCGGCCGCACGTGTCGCAGCTGAACGGCTTCTCGCCCGTGTGGATGCGCTGGTGTCTGTTCAGGTTCCCCGTGTTGCTGAAACACTTCCCGCACGTGTCGCAGCTGAACGGCTTCTCTCCGGTGTGGACCACCTTTAGGGGGAGGAAGGTTGAAAGGGAAACGGTCACTGAAATCATTTTCAGATGTGGGGCTTACGATAGTAAAGTCTTGATATAAACCACATTGGGCCTCATGTAAGAACCGCTTCGTACTCTTACCGTGTGTTCACTCACATTCACAGGAATTGAAATGTTACTTAAATGCAGTAAGTTCATATAAATCTTAAGCTACACAGTACGTCGATTTCTGTGTGTGTAAACATAAACGTCACTGCTGCATATATTCCGAATTTAGACATAATATTTACCGTAGTATAAAATGATCCAAACTCTATACAAACAAAATAAAGCGGGAATAGTTTAACATGAAGTTAGATGATAAATAAAGTCTTTGTAAAACTAATCGGTCCACTCACAAACAACTTATCCATCATTTTCAAAGCTACTAAACTGAAGGTCTTGCCTGCCTAAAGCTTGTTAAAAACATTATTCAGTGCAAACCGACCTGATGCGACTTGAGGCTGCTGTGCTGCGTGAACATGCGACCGCAGATGTGGCAGGAGAAGGGCTTCTCCCCGCTGTGCGTCTTCAGGTGGATCTTCAGGTAGCTGGACGACTTGAAGCTCTTCCCGCACAGCCCGCAGCTGTGCGGCCGGTCCACCGTGTGGTGCTGCTGGTGCGAGCGCAGGTCCGTGATGGAGCCGAGCCGCCGGCCGCAGAGCACGCACGTGCACGGGATGGTCGCCGCGTGAGTCAGCAGGTGCTTGCGGAGCGAGTCGACGCAGGCCACCACGGCGCCGCACGCGACGCACGCCAGTGCTTTCCTCTCGCCCGAGTGCATCTTCTGGTGCATCTTCAGGGCGCTCTTCTGGATGAAGCACTTGCCGCACGTATCGCAGCTGTAGGGACGCTCGCCGGTGTGGATCCGCTGGTGGCCCTTCAGGGTGTCGGCCTGGTTGAAGCTCTTGCCGCACGTGTCGCACCGGAACGGCTTCTCGCCCGTGTGTATGCGCAGGTGGCGCTGCAGGTTGCCCTGTATCGTGAAGCTCTTGTTGCAGTACTGGCAGTTGTAGGCCCGCTCCCCCGTGTGGACCATCTGATGCATCTTCAGCCCGTGGGCTCGGTAGAAGCTCTTGCCGCACTGCTCGCAGCGAAATGGGCGGACCTCGGCGTGGAGACGCTGGTGGTTCCTCAGCAGCTGCTTCAGGGTGAAACCTTTCCCACAAACATCGCAGGTGTGAGGCCTCTCCCCTGTGTATGGGAGCAATGCGTATTGTAAGCATGACAGAATATGCTTTACAGGTAGCATGCTCTTATATAGCTCCACTAATAAACAGTTTTAATGAATATAAATCAAATGACTGGATGTAATGTGTCTTGCACTGACAAACACAAAGATAATTATCACAGGTTTTCTGAGCTTTTTTGGCTAATTGTTTTGGTTTTAAGGCACTTTAATGCACGGTTGAGTCTCATGGCTCTCATCACCCGCCTGTTGATGAAGCCACTGTACATAAATTCTTACGTAATGGACTTACATTCATCAGAAGGCCAGAAACAGACCTCCAAATGAATGCTAGTGTCACTGTGTGCTTCCTGCAGAGGCCTCATGTGGTGTATGGCCACACTCACCCGTGTGAAGCAGCACGTGCGCATTGAGGCTTCGCTGGAACGCGAAGCCTCTGCCACACTGGGAGCAGTGGAAGGGCTTCTCGGCGTTGGCCCCGTGGACGGCCTGGTGGGCCTTGAGCTGCAGGGTTGAGCTGAAGGTTTTCCGGCAGTGTTTGCAGCTCAGAGGCTGCTGGCCCTGGCCCTGACTCTCCCTCTTCGCCCGACCCCGATAGGACTTTGGGGGCTTTGCAACGCGTTTCGGTCTGCTGGTGAATCCTGGGTCACCGTTATCGGGATCTTCTGGCTCCAACTAACGGAAAAACAAAATGCACAGATTGTTTATTCATTTCCTCATAACCTGCCGTGCTTTTTTCAAAAAACACAAAATTAATTGGGGCCAGGCGAAATCAACCTGGTAGTCTGGGTCGTCATCGTCCTCCTGGCCTGGATCCTCTCTGTACTGACCCGAATCAGAGGACGCCTGGTCAGCGAACGCCTGGTCAGCAAACGCCTCCACTCCTTCCTCCTTTATTATCACAGGTTGGACACAGTCCTGAGAGAATGTAGACATATTTAAGAGTCAAAACATGGTGTCCGGGAGGCCTACGGAAAAAGGTTATGGCCGCCTCTGTCCACATAGATTTGTGTCCTTTTGCACCTTAATGCCAATGAGGGGAAATGGTTTTCAGAGAATAGTGGAGTCCGAACTTTGTGGCAACAGTTTGAGAAAGACTCTATTTTCTGTTTCAACATGACAGCGTCCCCTGTGCACAAAGCCAGCTCTAAAAAGAAACGGGTTCCCCAGTTCAACCCCATCCAACCCCTTTGGAGTGAACTGGGACGTCACCAACGCTCTCAGTTGAGGCCGTTATAGTACAACAAATGAATGCCCAATGTCACATTTGGGTGTAACGGTCAGGTGTTTGCATATTTTTGGCTATAGAGTTTACCAATAAAACAATTCAACTTAATTCATTCATTAAACACATTTCTTTAGAAACCAATCGTCATAATTAAACAGTCTTAACGTGTGTAGTGTGTGGAAGGGAACAGGAAGTTGAAAAGAAAGACCTCAGCAAAGGATGTCAGAGCGTCTGCATCTGGAGGAGCCAAACTACGGCCCGCAGTGATTTTATAAACATGAATTAGAATATGGCCTGAGCATATTTATAATACATTGCACTGTATGTACACTGCACATCATAGTTTAAACACTAGATGTCAAGTACATTTAGTTGAATTATCTCTGTCTTAACCTCTTGGCACAGAAACCAATATTTGACCATTTCGGCTTGTTCTGTTTGTTACATCTTAATATTAGATTTACAAATACATCGTAATCTTCTAAGACGGCCCTTAGGCCTTGAAAGGAAACCTATATTTGGCAATTTGTGCCTTATACACATATATCATCATAATATTTTAAGTGGCAATGCTCTGTATTAGAGTTTTTAATATTTTAAATATTTAATTGATTGAAATTCAGTTAAATAGCGGAAGATACAGAACCACTTTTTGTAACACGTGGGCATGCTAGTGAACGACTGTAAAGTCAAACATTAAACTCTTTAGTCATGTTATGATGGGTAAGAGATTCTCTATGACACAAGTGGTTTTCTGCTGTAGAAACACTGATTTTCTTGCAGTGTAACTGGTTGAAAACTACACTTTTACTATTGTTTGGCCCGTGATTCCTTAAGTTGTTGTTTATGGCCCACAATACAAAAGCCCCCCCCCCCCCCCGATCTACATAGAAGAAGACAGGACTTTACCTCATAAGTTCTGCCCTTCCACAGGTGAATTATGGGCGATCTCTTCACTCCAGCATCACCGCTAGCCACAACTGTTGAAGTGCAAAAGTTATTTTTGTGGCAATTTCTGCATAATCAGACAAAGTACGACGGAGACCACGAGAAAGCATGAAGGGAGCAGAGGTGGTGGAGACGCACTACTGTGTCTCCTCTTCAACAGCAAACTGCTCCAACGTCAACTCAGTGTCGGTGTTTGTGGTGACAAAGACAAACGATCTCAATGAGTTGTGTTTCATTAGCTCATGGATATGTGGAAACTCAAATGCATCATTCCCAGTAATAAATAGCTTCCTACAAAGCCAAGTGGCAATAAAACAACACTAAATATAGTTACTGCTCCTCACATTTGTACACTGGTGGAAGACCTATTCAAAGTAAAAGTAGCAATACCACTGTGTAGAAATACTACAGTCCTTAAGTAGAAGTACTAGGTATCAGCATCAAAATACATTTAAAGTATGAAAAGTAAAAATACTCATTATACAAAATGGTTCATTTCAGAATGATATATATTATATTACTGGGTTATAATTAAAGATAAATATATATAAATTGAATATATTCATAGTCACTTTACTGTTGCTGGTTAAGCTGGGGTTATTATTATAATTTTTGCTATATATACGGCCTTGCAGCTCAACCTGTGATCATATATTCATGTATTTGACGGGGGCAGAGCATGTTAATGAACATCAGTATAAAATTACAAGATGTAAAGAGGCTGGAGTTAGCGAGAATGCTAATTTACATCTGTAGTCCCCAGGCAGGTAACTAAAACATTACAAGTAACAATAAAGCGTTTATTGTAGTTGAGGTGTTTTAAAGAGTTAACACAATAACTGGATAACAGCGTTTTTTGTCAATGGAGTCCAGTGTCTTTGGTTGTAATTATAGCGTACACTTAAATTGATATTGATTTTCTTAAGTATCTAAAACACATCTGTCCACAGCAGTACATTGTTTTGCTACTGTACTGTAATACGCTAACTATGAATAAGTACCTGATGCGCCCCTAACTATTCCTTTAATATCATCATGTGTCATAATATATTAGAAGCAACACAACCAATATTCCACCCAGAGTCTGATGAAGAAAAAGCAACCCAGTAAAAAGGATAACCTCGTCACCTCTGCGACTCTTCCTCCCTGATCGCTGGCTCTGGACAGTCTCTCCTCCGTTGGTCGGAGCTTCCCCGCCCTCCTTCTCCCCCCTGCCCTCCTCCGTCAGCTCCTCCGCCTCCTTCTGGCCTCCGCTGCCCTCCAGCACCAGCTTCAGCTCCGTCTCCGCCACCTCCAGTCTCCTCCTCAGGTCCTCCATCTCTGCAACACCCTGCGTCACCTACAGAGACAGACTTTTTAAAAAGAAATCAGGACAAATGGGACGACTTGTTTTTTATCATTTTTTAAGATCTTAGAGGTTATTTTAAATGTTCTTGGGCACGCTGAATTGTCTCTAACCAGAAATGCCTTATTGTTAAAACATTACAGTGCTACTTCAATGAATGCCAGTAATGTCTGTTCCTTCTCTTGGTCATTAATATATTTTGAAGTGTTAAAATCAAAGACATCTTAGTTTTAACTCTTTCTTCTCACAAGCTGAGATTTGGTCAGATCAGAATAAACACTGGCGTGGCCAAGATAATAAAAATAATTGCTAGCTGCAGCACTAGGATATCTTCATCAAAAGGTTATATTTTGGCAGAGTAATGAAAGCTCCTGCAAAACATATACTGCTGGATAGTGAGACTGAACGTGAAACATTTTACTGCATGCCATGTACGGATATGGTTGAAAAGTAGTAGAAACCAACTTCAGCATCAGGAAAACATTGCTGGGACTTTTCCTCATGATATCAACAGATGAGAAGTGTTTTCCTGTGATGACCTAAACACTAACACACGGGCGCAGTGAGGCGACGTACTTCTAGCTGCAGCAGAGAGGAACACTGGAGGAACAGCTGGCAGATCTTCTCCACGGCTTCTCGAGCCAGAGACGTCATGAAGACGCTGCACTGGATCACCTGATGGGAACGACACACCTCTGCTCGTCAATGATGACATGATGGCACGGACATGGTGCGATAACACACACTTTATTATTATAGTATTCCTGTTTTGTTTTTTTACAGTATTTGGTAAGTCAACTGCGTTTGTTTTTTTACATCTAATATCTGAATGGCCCGTGCCCTTGAGTGTGTAGCTGAATGCGTGTTGCTGCTGTTGTTTTCCCGTTAAGCTAGTTAGCGTAGCCTCCCAGAACACTTGCGGAGCTGTTTATTGTTGTCGTTTTTTTTGTTCCGGTTCAGAGGTCACACAGACCGTTGTCTCCTACATGAGCGCAGAAAACATTATATTTCCAACAATTTAAGTATTATTCAAACGTATTGTTCGGTTTGTAAGCCTCGTACCGATCGGTTTAATACGAATACGTATATAGTTACAGCCCTAGAAACGAATAATAACCGTATAGCTGTGGCGCCATCATGAGGTTATAAGGTGGTATTTCAGCTGCAGGACAGCAGTGAAGGCCCAGGTATAAAATGCACGGCCCGCCACTGCTTTTGAGACAAATGTTTAAAAGTTGATCATTAAATATGAGAGAAAGGTATTATACAGCAATTTAAATGTTTCATATTAGTTTAATTTGATAACTCTTGTCAGTCAGCTGTTTTTAAGCAGTAAGAGAAAACTCAACAGAATTAGTCTTTTGATGGCTTCATGTTTGTCTATAACTCTTCCTCTGAGGAGACAAGAAATATTTAACAACTAAAGAAATTAAATGTTTTCAAACGTGGAGCAGGTTTTAACCGAGGCTCTGTTTGTAAATGAGGAAGCAAAGTTCACATTCACAGCGCTGCTCCTCTTCCTGGAATGAAGCACAGCTTGACAACCCCTCCTTCTTCCTCCTGCTCTCAAACACAGCCGCTCCACTCTGCCCACATATCTCCTTGTTCCCTCCCCTTCAGATCTACAGTTTTAAAGATGGGTGTAACCAACATGGTGGTGAAGCGATAGAGCTGACAGGCTCCATTCACTGAACAAACACATGTTGTTCAGATCAGAAGTCAAAGCAGAGTCGCTTCTAGTGAAGTCAAACTCAGACAGTCGTTGTCACTGAGAGGTGAAATGGCGCAGAAAGGACTTCAGCTGGATCGGGAAACCTTCTCTTGTTCCATCTGTCTGGATCTACTGAAGGATCCGGTGGCTACTCCCTGTGGACACAGCTACTGCATGAACTGTATTAAAAGCTTCTGGGATGAAGAGGATGTGAAGAAACTCCACAGCTGCCCTCAGTGTAGGCAGACCTTCACACCGAGGCCTGTCCTGCTGAAAAACACCATGTTAGCAGTTTTAGTGGAGGAGCTGAAGAAGACTGGACTCCAAGCTGCTCCTGCTGATCACTGCTATGCTGGACCTGAAGATGTGTCCTGTGATGTGTGCACTGGGAGGAAACTGAAAGCCATCAAGTCCTGTCTGCAATGTGTGATCTCTTTCTGTGAGAAACACCTCCAGCCTCATTCTGAATCCCCTGCCTATGAGAAACACAAGCTGGTGGACCCCTCCAAGAAGCTCCAGGAGAACATCTGCTCTCGTCACGATGAGGTGATGAAGATTTTCTGCCGAACTGATCAGCAGTGTATCTGTTACCTCTGCTTAATGGAGGAACACAAAGGCCACGACACAGTCTCAGCTGCAGCAGAAATCACTGAGAGGCAGAGAGAGCTGGAGGTGAGTCGACTAAACATCCAGCGGAGAATCCAGGACAGAGAGAAAGACGTGAAGCTGCTTCAACAGGAGGTGGAGGCCGTCAATCGCTCTGCCGACGAAGCGGTGAAGGACAGCGAGAAGATCTTCACCGAGCTGATCCGTCTCATGGAGAAAAGAAGCTCCGATGTGAAGCAGCAGGTCAGATCCCAGCAGAAAAGCGAAGTGAGTCGAGTCAAAGAGCTTCAGGAGAAGCTGGAGCAGGAGATCTCTGAGCTGAAGAGGAAAGACGCTGAGCTGAAGCTGCTCTCACACACAGAGGATCACAACCAGTTTCTACACAACTACCCCTCACTGTCACCACTCAGCGAATCTACAGACTCGTCCGGCATCGATATCCGTCCTCTGAGCTACTTTGAGGACGTGACGGTGGCTGTGTCAGAAGTCAGAGATAAACTACAGGACGTTCTGAGAGAGAAGTGGACAAACGTCTCACTGGCAGTGACTGAAGTGGACGTTTTACTGTCACCTTCACGAGCAGAGCCCAAGACCAGAGCTGGATTCTTAAGATATTCAAGTGAAATCACACTGGATCCAAACACATCACACACACAGCTGTTATTATCTGAGGGGAACAGAAAAGCAATATTAATGAGAGAACAACAGTCTTATTCTAGTCACCCAGACAGATTCACTTCATGTCATCAGGTCCTGAGTAGAGAGAGTCTGACTGGACGTTGTTACTGGGAGGTGGAGTGGAGAGGAGGAGTTTATGTAGCAGTCGCATACAAGAATATCAGCAGAACAGGAAGCTCTAATGAATGTGTGTTTGGATACAATGACATATCTTGGGTGTTACGTTGTGTCAAAAACAGTTTTACATTTTGGTACAACAATATCGAAACTCCCATCTCTGGTCCTCAGTCCTCCAGAGTAGGAGTGTACCTGGATCACAGAGCAGGGATTCTGTCTTTCTACAGCGTCTCTGAAACCATGACCCTCCTCCACAGAGTCCAGACCACATTCACTCAGCCTCTCTATGCTGGATTTTTGATTTATGATTATGCAAACACTGCTGAGTTCTGTAAACTCAAATAGACAAAAGTGATTTAAGGAACAGCAAATTAATTTCTGTGTTTTAATCTTGAAACTCATTTTGTCTCCATCATTGTCGCTTAATTGCTGATTTCAGCTGTCAATCAAACATTGTGGGCGGTACTTTGACGTCTTCTCATTATTGTTGTGTACATGTTTGAGTTTCTTTAGGTGGAGCTCCTTTCTGTGTGTTTAGCCATGGAGGCTATCACTGCTCATGATGAACTTTGTTGACCTGAACTGATATTTCTCTTCATGAAAAAGTAAACTGCTCTGAGGTTTAAATGTTTGATAAATATTAGTATTGATGTATTTGTTAGTTGTTGTTTCTCTTCTCTTCTCTTCTGAGAACTAAAGATATTTAGTTCTCAGCACTCTTTGTAAATATTTCTTTAAGTGAAATTATGTTTATTTTCTATAACAGATTCAATGTTGTTCTTGTTTTCTTAATCGTTGTACAAAAGAGGTACTATGATGTATTATATAACTAATTATTATCATCATAATCAATAAGTAAATCATTCATTATTCTCTTTTACAGAACTGAGATTCTGGTCAAACAAATAGATTATGAGGATGAAGTGAATGTGTTCATGAAATCATTGAACAAGAGTCATTGAACAGACTTTACTGATGGGATGTGAACAAACTGAAGCTTTACATGATGAATAAAGTATTTCTTGATTCAAAAATGAACAAAGTATTTTCTTCTTGTCTTATTTACAGGGTTTCATACAAAGCTGATGGAGAAAATGTGAAACTAATATGAGTGTATAACCGAGTCAGTTTTCCTCCTGAAACACCACAAAGTACAGAGTTCATGTTTAGAGCAGAAGAACATTAGTCAGTCAGTCTCTGTCCTTGAAACTGTCCTCACTAAAACATCTTCGTCACAGAGAAATGAGCAGTTTTATATCACGTCGCTTCTTACAACCAACATTCTGTTTGTGCACTTAGTCAATAAAGGATTTATTACACCGACATGAAATAATATATAAAAAATTGTGAATTAATTTGGTGAAGTTTGGGTGTGAATAAGATGTATTGAGTCCTCCTCACACAGGAGACAACAGATACTGATGAAAGCTCAGAATGAGGCTGTCATGTTGGTTCAGTGTTCATCTGTCACCTCACAGCCAGACCATGTTGTAAAGTTTGAATCCAGACTCGACTCAAACTTCTTGTGACTCATTTTGTCCAGGGTGAAATCTGTCAACCCACCAAACAGCCTGCTGGCCTCAAGAGTTTCTCTAATTTATCCTCCGTTAGTGTGGCACTGGGTGTTTGAGAACACAGGGAAGTATTACCCCCCCCCCCCCCTATTTATTTGAATTCAGTAAAAGCTAAGGTCTCAGAAACATTTACTATTTCTTTGTCACTTACCTGTATCATGCTGTCATTAGGTCTTTTACTGGGATGTGTGGTTATTGTATTTCGGCTCAGCCCAACATTGTCAGCAGAGGGCGCTCTAGGCACTATACTGAGCATTAGTAGCTAACGTAAGTAGAGCAGAAGAAAGCAGTCAGTACGTGATGAGCGAAGTGTCATCAGAACAGAGAGCGCTTCTCACCTGACCTCATGTGTTTTCATATATATTTACATGCAAACTGACTTTAAACAGAAACATGTTAGATATAACATCTGTATTCACTTGAGAAGCCTTAGTAACTGTAAAATAAAGACATTTCTTTTCATTTTCATGTTAAAATGGCAGAGCTCATTGAAATAATTCTGCTGACTAACGCTAATCTAAAAGACAGTCCAAAAGACAGTCCGGTTCTATGAGAGCTGAAGTTAGTTAAATATATATATATATTTATGATTTGAGGGAATGTTTATAGCAACGGAGTTAAGGAATGAGTCAGTGTCAGGCTGGACAGCTAATTACATGTACTGCTATTTGAATGCTAATCTCTGCTAGCATGCTAACGTATTAGCTTATGTTATTAATTAGGGGTGCAACGGATCACAAACCTCACGGTTCGGTTCGGATCACGGTTCTTGAGTCACGGTTCGGATCATTTTTCGGATCAACAAAGAAAAGGGGAGGAGACAAATATAACTGCTTTCCATTTATTAATTAAAGAACTTCAAGAACACTTAAAGAAAAGAACTTTGGGCTATAGTCTTACATAACTAAAGTATTGAAGATGTCCAATTTGAAACAAAATGAATTAAATAACAAATAAAAATAAAACATTCAAGAATATTCAATTCTGTTAAGTTTAAGTGCAACATGAGGTATGTTGAGACCCTCGTCCTTTGATAATACTGAAAGAAAGAAACAGCCAGTGAGCTAGCTTCCACTGTTTACACTGAACCGAACTGCTCGGCAACAACTTGGGTCTTTGTTTACTTCCTGTCAGGTTATGTCATTCAAATACACAATAATGTTTACCATTACCATTATTTTCAAAAAGATGAGAATATCTACATTGCCTGGGGAGAGGGTAGACCTTTCTGTAGTGATATTACTATTGGGTCTGTCTAGCTTCCACTCTGATACTTCTGTCAGCACCTGCCCCAGGTGTGTGTCTGTGTGACTCTCACAGAGGGGGCGTGTCTTCAGCACCGGACAATGAATCACTCCGCCGTGGTGAAAGCGGTCAGTCTTTTCCTTCTCATAGAGGCCTGGAACAGCTTCATACTGAAGTGGGTGCGTGAGGGGATTGTTTTCCACACCATAGTGTCCCCCGTCGCTGACAGACGGGATGGTGGCTCTTCATATGTGGACATGCCGATGTATGCTTTTAACCTGCTCCGTTCACGTGAACACACTACTGCTTTATACCTGTTCACTGACACTCTGCATTGATATTCAGGGACTTGTTACTTGAAAAGGAACAGCAGCAGTAAAACGTTATTACACACTATGATGATTACACTGTAAAAACAAAGAAAGGAAAAAAAATACTCAATTGATCCGCGGTTCACGAGTGATCCGAACCGTGATGGGTGATCCGTTACACTACTAATTAACATGTAAACAGCATTTTAATGTTGTAGCTGGTGGAGGTGGAGCTCATTTCTACTATTTTATGTACTAGCGACTGATTTTTATCTGCATCAACGCATCATATTTTATGGAGCAGAAGTCCATCAAGAGTAAACTAATGGACAACTTAAATTGGTAAATAATTAAATAACCTTTTAAGTAATTTATACAAAACATTTTATAGACTTAACAATTGACTATTTAATGAAAAACGACTGACATTCCTCTGAAAAGTAACAGCGCAGTGAAAGCTACAACATTTCCCTCGGAAATGTGGAGTAGAGGAATAACGTAGTTTAAAATACTATAAAATTAAAGTACCTACCTCTAAATTGTACTCGTGTACAGTACTCAAGGAAATGTACATAGTAGCCTCCAACCATTGGTTGTACTGAACTGTATGTCAGTGGTGGAAAGTAACTAGTACATTCACTCAAATACTGTACTTAAGTTCAATTTTGAGATACTTGTACATTACTTTCATATTCTGCTACTTCATACATCTAGTCCACATCTCAGAGGCAAATAGTGTGCGCTTTACTTCACATTCATTTGATAGTTTTGGTTACTATACAGATTAACAAAACTGAACATAAATGAGAAAAAAAATCATAATTTATTACTTTACCTTAAAATATGATTAGACTTTAATGGGGGAAATTCACAAGCTAGCCAGCACTATGTAACTTAATAAAAACTAGCATCACAGTAATCAGTTTCAACATTAAAATGATGAACACATGAATACATCAATAACTACAATCAAGTAATAATACTTTTAGGTACATTTTAAAGTATATTTTGATGCTAATACTTTTGTATTTTTTACTTAAGTAAAGTTATGAAAGCGGGACTTTAACTTGTAACAGAGTATTTCTACATTCAGGTATCAGAGTACTGTTTTCGCAGGCTTGTGATATTAACTAACCAACTACATAAAACATATTTAACGTTGTATTGTCACGGTTGGACCCCTGCTGTCCTCGTGGTCACAGTTCGCTGTAACTGTTCATTAACTATTGATAAACTGACCCTGGACCTGCAGGTAGCAGTTAACGTTCAGTGAAACCTGTGGCTCAGACGCTTCTAGACATACAGCAGATAGATAGGCCCGGGCCTGCTGTCCAACTCAAAATGGCGAACAAGATGGATTCTTCCCGGTTGTTGTTTGGCCAGAGCTACACGTTTAACTTTAATTTAGTCACATTATGGGCTAAACCCGGCATAGCAGCACTATAGTGAGTGGTTATTAAAGTGTAGGCGATATAAACTCACTGGAGCAGCTAGCTAGCTCTTCTATTTCTATGTTCAGCTGGCTGTTTAGAAGCCACAGAAGGAGGGAGCCCGACACAGGAGAGCACGTCACGGACACACACACACACACACACACAGTAACCGACGGTTTAACGTACCTTCTCCTCCGAGGACCCGTGCATGTTCTCGGTCGTACATGACGACACTTCTGACCGTGTTGAAGCGGAGCCGCCGATAACTTTGGTCATTTCTGTCACTGTCGTACTCACCATTGTCTCCAAAATGGAGCCCACCTGCGCCTCCAAATCAGACATTCTGACAAGTCAGTGTGTCCGCTATGAATTTAGTTTCAGTAATATACTTTTGTAATAAAACAAATTACATTTACTGCTGCAATATTGTCGTTATGCTGAAAAACAAACAAACTCGTGCCGCTCACAACACGGATGTTCCTCTTCCTAGTTCATGTTCTTCAAAATAAGAGCACGCAGACTTACTACGGTCCTATTCACCATTGGACATCAGCAGTGGAGCAAGTATTCCGATACTTTAATTACTAATAGTACTAATACCACACCGTACAATACTCTGTCCTGCATTGAAAATGTTTCTTAAGTAATAGTATGTAAGTATAATCCGCTAAATGTACTTAAAGTATTAAAAGTTAAAGTACTCAATCCAGAAACATGTCACCTGTGACTTAAAATATTTAAAAAAAAAGAGAAACATTAAAAAATAAAAAAGCAGGACTTTACTGTTGTAGTTGTTTGAGATGGAGCACATTTTGAACTATTAACTCATGGTTATGTTGTTTGGTTTGTAAAAATTTGCACAAACAAAATCATTACAATTATTTAAAAAAAGAAAAGCAGCAAATCTTCACATTTGTGAGGCTGGAACCAAGTAACCAGAGACTAAAGCTGTCAAATAAATTTAGTGAGGTAAAAAGCACAATATTTGTATGATGTGTGACATCATGTATTGTACAGTGATTGCAGGTGACTCCGTGCAACATCTTGTTTTTCCTTTCAAAATAAAATCTATGTCATTACCTGGACAGCTATAAAGCATTTACTGGAGAAGAAAAAACTCAGATTTTATCCAGAGCACTTTAGTTTCATTCAGACTTTACTGTGCTTTGTTGTTTCAAACGTATCATGAAATATGATCCAATGCTAAAGGAAAACTGAAAATATGAAAAAAACAAAGAATCATATCATTTAAATTAAACCTTTACTCAAGCGCATCATTTTTAGGTTTGTAGTTCAATTACAGCTCTCGCAGTGAAATAGTAAACATTTTCAAAGCAAACATTCTCTTCAAGATGGTTTTGGTTCTAGTTAAATGTTTGTGTAGCTTTCATACATTTCAGGAACAGGCGCAAGAATTTTTTTTAAAGTCCCTGCTGCGTTGTCATGATTCTCACCAGCTGCTCGGCTTCAGGCGCGCTCCCTAACATGTTCTGGTACTCCTCAGGCGCAGTTGTGTCTCTTGAGCAGCCTCGAGTCCGAAAACCCAAGTCCACAGCCGCCGCAGGAATACGGCCTCTCTCCCGTGTGGACCTGCATGTGAAACTTGACGTGTCCGAGCTGCCTGAACCTCACGCCGCAGACCTCGCACTCGTAGGGCTTCTCCCCCGTGTGGACCCGCAGGTGCCTCAGGTAGTTCGTGTAGATCCTGAACGCCTTGCCGCAGTGCTCGCACGTGTGCGGTTTCTCCCCGGAGTGCTGCAGCTCGTGGGACTTGAGCGCCTGGCGGATGATGAACCTCTTCCCGCACACGTCGCACCCGAACGGCCGTTCCCCCGAGTGGATCCGTTGGTGGTAGTCGTACGTGGCTTTGTAGAAGAAAGACTTCCCGCACGCGTCGCAGCTGTACTGCTTCCGCCCCGTGTGAATGAGCTCGTGTCTCCTCAGCGAGCCCGCCGTGTCGAAGCCCTTGCGGCAGGTCCGGCAGCTGAACGGCGTCATGTCCACCGTGGTTTTGTCCTGTCGATAGATGACTCGGCGGTTGCCTCGGGTTCGTTTTCTAATGACCTGGCTGTGTCTTTCGTCGTGGGTGACCTTCTGGTGTCTCTGCAGCTGGCAGTTGTAGAGAAACGTCTTGCCGCACAGGTCGCACATGAACGACTTGGCGGCGCCGTGAAGGAGCATGTGCGCTTTCAGCTTGTTCTGAACAAAGCTCTTCCCGCACACGTCGCATTTGAAGGGTTTCTCGCCCGTGTGGATGCGAATGTGCCTCTTCAGGTTGTGCTGCAGGGTGAAGCCCGCTCCGCACGTCTCGCACGTGAACATTTTCCCCCTGTGGACGGACTGGTGCGTCCGGAGCGACCTCCTCCTGTTGAACGCTTTGCCGCACACCGCGCATTTGTAAGGGTGCTCCCCCGTGTGGACGCTTTTGTGGCACTGCAGCGTGAACGCGTACCGGAAACTCTCGCCGCACTCGGCGCACTTGTGCGGCTTTTCGACGGTGTGCACGACCTGGTGGGCCCCCAGCGCTTGCTTGGTTTTGAAGGCCTTCCCGCAGGCGGGGCACGTGAAGGACCTCGCGTCCGTGTGGACGAGCTGGTGGGTCTTCAGGTACATTTTGGTCTTGAACATCTTCTTGCAGAGACGGCACTCGAAGGCGGCGTGCTTCCTCTCCTCGTGCCGCAGCAGGTGGTGCTCGAGGGTCGCCGCATTCCGGAATTTCCTTGGGCACTGGTCGCAGGCGAGCAGCCTCTGCTCTCTGTGAGTGTTGGCGTGCTTCGTCAGATGAAAGTGCCGGTTGAAGCTCTTGTTGCAGACTTCGCAGACGAAGGACTTCCCTTTGCTCTTGGCTGGCGCCTCCCGTGCGTTCTGGCTGTCAGCGTTTTGGGATTCGGCCGTGTTTGTCGTGGTGTAACCCTCTGCAGCTTCTAGACAGGAGAGAAAAGAAAGATAAGAATTGTCACACAGGAGTAAGAGAGGCAATTATTTTTATAACGGGGAACATTTTGGCATTAAGCTGCTGGTTAAAATACTGGGTGACTGGTCATTGGTAGAGCGGATCGATCACGGCTCCACTGTCCTTGGGTCAGACATCTTCTTGCTGTACCATCGATGTATGAATGATTAGACAGTCCTGATGGCAGGTGCCACCTTGCATGGTAGCCTCTGCCATCAGTGTGTGAATGGGTGAATATATGTATTTCTTCCTGTGTATTAATGTTTATTACTTCCACATGAACAAGTTGAAATGTCACCTTGTCGATGGGCCATTAATGAACTGTTAAGTCAATCTCAGATGCAGTAGTGTTGAATTGTTCTGTTTTAAGGAACCCGCTTCCCCTCCGAGTGCCGTGTCTACTTCCCGTTTTGCTTGTTATTTTCCCAGGAGGACATGAGCTTTTAATAGAGTTTGTCATGCGTAGTGGATTTTCTTTCCTTACCAGCATCGTGTCCACTCTCCATCCCAGCAGCGGGTGCTGTTTCTGTGACTTCCTCCGTCAATTTATCTGTCTTTCTTTTCAACGTCCCGAAGGGCTTCAAGGTGTAGATCAAGCCGGTCTGCTCGAACAGGACGGGGCAGCCGCTCAGGACGTTTTCCCTCCACGCTGTGGCATTTTCCAAGTTTTCAGTCGTGAGCTTCAGCTCGCTCTCCAGCCGCCCCGCTCTGGCCTGCAGACTCTTGTTGTCGTCGTGCAGCGTTGAGGACAGCTGGGAGAAAATGGCGTCGATCTTTCTCGTCGCCTCCCGTGCCAACATTTCCACGAAATCCGTCTGTGAGGATTAAGATAAAGCGGTCAACACTGTTCACTATAAATTATTTACTGATATATCGATATATATATATCGATATAGATATCTAGATCTACATCTAGATAGATAGAGATATCTATATAGATAGATAGAGATATCTATATAGATAGATAGAGATATCTATATAGATAGATAGAGATATCTAGATAGATAGATAGAGATATCTAGATAGATAGATAGAGATATCTAGATAGATAGATAGAGATATCTAGATAGATAGATAGA